CCCCCCCCCCCCAACCCCGGCGTGATCAGACTGGGGTCGCGGTCCCCACCCTGATACTGAATCGGAGTGTCTGGGTGGCGCCCCTGACTGCTTTTCAAGTCTTCTCAGGCGAATCTGATGCTTGGCCACGGTTGAAGCCTAGCCCGCGGTTTCAGACCTGCGTAGCTGGAGCGCCGTGTTGGCTCCCTCAGGGTCCGGGTAACCCCCCAAGACAGCCATTGCAGGGAGGGTGGTCAGCTTTGCAAGTGTAGGTTTTATCAGATGCCCCCAAACAGATCTGGGGTTGGAGAACGGACATGGGCCTTGCAAAACTGGATGGCCTTGTGACCTCAAGGGCGGACACTCCTCCCTCTTGGAAGGCAACTGGGATGTTTATAAGGACGAGTCCTGCAAATTTCTGATTGGTTCCAGAATTGTCCCGCAGATACTAAAGTCCGCAAATGCTGAAGTCCGTTATAAAAAAAAACAGCGTAATGTTTATGTAAACCTAAGCATATACTCCTGGCCAGATTACATCATCTGTAGATTACTGATACCGTGTAAATGCTATATAAATAGGTGCTGGGATGCTGCAAATTCAGATTTTGCTTTTGGGAACTTTATGGAACTTTTAAAATTTTTGACCAGGATTGACTGACTGAGCAAGTGGAACCCAAAGATACTAGAGGGCCAACTGTATAATAACCTAAAAAATGTAAGGACCTCTGAAGGCGTACCGTTACTTTATGTTCCATGTGAACAACAGAGATTAAGAGAAAAATATGTTCCCTGTAAATTACGGGTAGTGAAAGTTTTGTGTTTATAATGCCAAATAGATATTGACTGCAACTGTCTGGTTTGCTGAGAAAGATGACATAAACCCCGAATTGCAGATTGAGGAATAGACTTTGAAGGATAACTTTTTCAAAACTGCATAGCTGTTGCTGGAATAGGGACCAAACCTGATTGTTTAAAATATGTTGCCTTTGCCACATTAACAGCCTGGTTTTCAACTATGATATCTCTGTGTGACCTGTACAATTCATTCACTGAGCAAATAGTTATTGAGTGGCTACTGTGTCAACAACAAAGAGACACTGCTCTAGGTGCTAGGGATACCACGGTGAACCAATTAATACCCACCCCACCCCCCCCATCCCCACTTGCCAGCTAATATTCTGGGAGTCAATGGTCAGTTAAAGAATATGTACTCTTATTTTAGGTATTGAGACATACCATGTTTTACGGATAGGCAAGCTAAGAGGATAGGGAATGGTGGTGGGAGGCAGGAGAGTGCTGTTTTAGAAATGTGTTAAGAGGAAATTCCCTCTGGGGAACCTGAGGTGTGGAAACCTGAATGAAGAGAGGAAGTTAGGGTATAAGAGAAAAAAACCAAGGATTTGGTTTGAGCAACTGAAAAGGTGAAGTTCCATTACTGAGCTAAAATAAGTTTTTAGATGCATCTTAAATGTCTGATATTTATCTAAATGAGATCTGCGATATTTAAATCCATGAAATTGGAAGTGTGCCCAAGACATGAATGAGTGTAGGTAGAGAGATGACTGAGGACTGATACCTAGGACACTTCAGTGTTTAGAATTCAAGGAGATATGAAGAGAAACCAGAAAGGAATACTGAAAAGAATCCAGCATGTTATGAGAAAAACTTTGAGAGCATGCAGCCTTAGAAGACAAGAAAGTGTTTCACAGGAAAAGAGGTAACTAATTCTTCCAAATATATTGCAGGTTGGTCAAATGAGATAAAGACAGAATGGATCATTTCACAGAGAATAAAAAGATAAAATATTTTTATTCAAATGCTGTTAATGGCAGTTGCTTGAAAAAATGTGTGTCCTTTCTGCAGAAGTTCCATTTTTACAAAAATACTGAGGGTTATTTGAGAATACCTATCAAAACTTTAATGTTGGCTTTCTTTGATCTTGTAAGTCCACTTCTAGAAATTTATCCTAGAATAATAAGCACATGTATACACAAAGATATATGTGTAAGAGTGTTCCTCACAGCATCAATTTCAATAGCAAAAAGCAAATCTCATCAGGATGGATGAAGTTGTTAAACAATATATATACATCTATAGATGCTGTGTAAGATAGCTTTCACAAATTATTAAATCATCAAGGCAGGTTATCCAGTAAAATGTGTAATATGATTTATATTAATATATTCAAAGCAGACTGTTTTTGATTACGTTATCAAAAATGACCCTTCACTTAGCTACTTGTTACTATCATGATAGCCTATTTTATTCACAGCATTTATCACTATCTAAAATGATTTCATTTATTTATTTAGTTGTTTGCTATCTTTTCTTTTTCCACCAGAATTTCAGCTTTATTAGAAATTTCCTGTCTTGTTCATGGTTGTTTCTCCTGCTTCATGATGTAATTTTTAAAATCTAGTTTTAGAGGAAAAAAAGGATATTTCTAATTTTCCTGGTTTAGTTATTAACTATTACTCTCATACTTATCAATACTACTTATTTCAGCCCTCAGTTCAGTTCAGTCCAGTGGCTCAGTCATGTCCAACTCTTTGCGACCCCATGAACTGCAGCACGCCAGGCCTCCCTGTCCATCACCTCATTTTTATTCACACTAGGATTACCTGTGTAGATTTTTAAAAATATATTTATGCTTAGACCCCACTGTAAACCAATTAAGTCAGAACTTGGGGTAGTGTCAGAGTATCAGTATTTTTTGAAGTTGTCTTTGAGATTTTAATGGGTGGACAGGACTGAGAACCACTAGATTAGATGACATTTGAAGTATAACTGTAGTGATTCTAGTATCAAGAATACATAATAGGGATATGCTTTCTTAGAATACCAGTTTTTCAAACAAATCATATTTTGCTTTTACTACATTCCATAGTAGATGGAATCATCATTTTTCTCCTCCTTTCAAAGTACTTCTTTCTTGATGAGGTATAGGTGTTTGACCTATTCCAAGAATTTCACAAAATAAAGACCCAAAATATGAATTTCCCCTTTGCTGGAATGTTTACTTTTGGTGGAATCACTTTCCTAAGAGTTTGTTAAGTTCTCTCATGCTTGATGAAGCCACTTTATGTTTTTCACTTCATTAATTAGGGAAATAAAGACTCAGAGGCCTTACTTTATCACTTTAGGAGGTCCCTTTACTATTCCCTTGACCTCTGTGATGCGTTGACTTAGCAACAGCTCCTTTGATGTACAAACATTCTTTTGGCAAATAGTTCAGGGCAGCCCCTCATATTGAACAATTCAGATTTCTTCTGGGAGTTGAACTTGGAATTGGAATTTTCTCTTGTGCCTGATATGGTAAACATTTATGGTTTTTACTTTCCACTAAATAAAGCATAGCCTACTGTATTTTTCTAATGTGAATATTGATAAATCTTATGAATGTTGTTAAAGAATTCAGTAGTTATGTACAGACCTAAAATCATAGAATAATTGTGTCATATGGCTGTATTTTATTTTTCACTTCAGACTTCTATTGTATTTTTATTATATTTTTGTAAGGTAAATTTGGAAGAACAATATTATCACTTATATGAGTTAACTTTGTATTTAAGAGTGGCGTTTTGTTGGTTTTTTTTTCCTGTTGGGTTCTTTAGTTGTTCAATCTGTATTTTTGGGGGCCTAGTATGGAATGATAGAGATAAACCAGAAATAGATTCTGCTCTTAACGTACCTTTAATATAGTAGGAGAGATCAGATTTTTACCTCATACAATATTGAATGAGATAACAATCAAAGGAAACATATAGATCATATACTCTTAAGAATTAGGAAGAGAGATTATCCTCACCTTGCATGAATCAAGGAAGGAGATGGTACTTGAGATACTATAAGATCAGTTCATGCTTCTGGGAATATATTTTGGCTCACATAGTAGCTTGTTTCTTAGAAGCAATATAAATGAAACACGTAAGTTGTTTTTAATAGAGCATAAAATTCATAAAATGGTAAATAAAAATAAAAGCAGAGGATAGATTCTTAAGACCTTTGTCTCCAGTATGATCCTTGTTCCAGGACTGAGGAGCAGTTTATTCTTCCTTTTCAGTTCACCAAAACTTAAGTCAGTTCAGTTCAGTTCAGTCACTCAGTCGTGTCCGACTCTTTGCAACACCATGGACTGCAGCACGCCAGGCCTCCCTGTCCATCGCAACTCTTAGCGTTTACTCAAACTCACGTCCATTGAGTCACTGATACCATCCAGCCATCTCATCCTCTGTCGTCTCCTTCTCCTCTCACCTTCAATCTTTCCCAGCATCAGGGTCTTTTCCAGTGAGTCAGTTCTTTGCATCAGGTGGCCAAAGTATTGGAGTTTCAGCTTCAACATCAGTCCTTCCAATGAATATTCAGGACTCAATATTCAGGATGGACTGGTTGGATCTCCTTGCAGTCCAAGAGACTCTCAAGAGTCTTCTCCAACACCACAGTTCAAAAGCATCAATTCTTTGATGCTCAGCTTTCTTTATAGTCCAACTCTCACATCCATACATGACTACTGGAAAAACCATAGCTTTGACTAAATGGACCTTTGTTGGCAAAGGAATGGCTCTGCTTTTTAATAT